CTCCAAAGATTGTCATTCTAAAACACGCTATGGTTGTTTTTAATATCATTCTAACCTCTATTAATGGATCCTAAATGCTTTGGTTTTGTTATAAACTAAAAAATAAACTTGTTATTTTTACACTTCCGTTGACCGATTTTATGAAAAACACACTTATATTTTGTATCAAAACTCATCATAACGAACGAAAGTTATTAATGATAAACAAATTATATATAATATGGGGTTAAACACGAGAATTTAGAAAATAGAGGGGTGAAAGTAACATTTTTCAAAGTTCAAAGTGAAGAGTTCAAATTGATATTTTAAAAAGTAAAGGGGTGGAAAAGCCACAAACTCATAAACATAAAATACATAAAAAATTACACGAATGGTCCCTATGGTTTACCCATAGTCACAAACTCAACCCTTGCTACTTGAAAAGACCAAAATACCCTCTCACTAACGGATGACCAGTAACGACGTCAGCAAAAAGGGCAATTCACGCAAGTTTTGGAAACCACAATGATCATGTTTGTCAAAAAAAAAAAATTTAGCAGAGACTGAGTTTATGACATTTGCTAAACCACAATGATCATTTTTGTAGTTTGTCAAAAATAAATAACATAACGGTCATGTCACGTGTGATAAATGCTTAGGGCATCCACACTGAACTCCATAGAGTTCAATAATTTGCCACATTATTTTTTTTACATTCCATACAACTCTATTAATTTTTTTCCCTACAATGTGTTGAACTCTACAAAGTTCAATAGAAAATTACAAAAACTAATTTATTGTATATATATTTAAGGGTTGAAAACTTTCATTTTTCCCATTGAAGAGTTCAGGACCGTTGAACTCCAAATCAATCAAATTTTAATGTGACATCTCAATATGGTAGAGTTTAATCCATTGAATGACACATATACATGTCACCTCATTCAACTTTCTTATTGAACTCACCATTATGGATGCTCATATGCAAAATGAAAATGATGGGTGAATCGTATTATTTCAAATATTAATTATTTTATAATTATCGTGAAAGAAATTATATTTTGGACGTAGAAATCACTACATTTTAACTGTTTATTCATTTTTAACCCCATAAATATAACTAGCTGTGAAACCTCGCTTCGCGGGGTTCGGTTAATACCAGAGTTTTACACTTTTGTTTATCAGTTACGTATGTGGTGTAGTCATAGATAGTAAACAGTATGCAGGGGCATTTTCGACAAAAAAATGTTAAAATCACGATTTTTTTAGTAAAAGAACAAAGGCCAAAAGTTGTTTTTTCGGAGAGTTTAATAACAATGTAAAAGCTGTACAATTTTTTTCAAATGAACAATAAAACACAAGTTGAAAGAATGTAGCTTCAAAACTGCTGCAAGTATATTATCATGATAAGTATCGTTCAGCCGACCTCTCTTTCATTCGCAAAGGGGAGATCGGGAGGTGCTCTGGATAAACGACAAAAATAAGGAAAAAGGAAAAAAAAATTTACAGAAAGATGCATCTTCAAAGTAGTCACAAGTGATTCCATAGGGTTTCACCTGTTTGGTTGGAAAAATGTGACTACTTTCAAGATGCATCTTTTATATCAAGTAAACAGTTATGTTATATGTAACATGACAAGAAAAAATGTGGCAAGTTTAATCTTTTTCAGGTGTAAAAAATTTGGACGGGTAATGAAAAGGATAAACTTACTTGGGATTTGCTAACTTCTGAAGTCAAACTTTTAGGTCAACTATATTCTTCTGCAAGGCTGGATAAAAATCAAATGGAAAATAAGTTTAATACATGTACATATACCTTCAACAGGTAGTTAATTTCAATGAAAAATTGAAGAAAACGGATGAATACCTGTAATAAAAAGAAAAAGAAAAAGAAAAAGAAAAAGAGATTGATTCAAGTAAAAAGAATGAGAAATCAATCACTAAATGCAGCTAAAATGAACATAAAAACTGTATTTTAAATAAAAAAAATTCCATTATCATAATTTATCATTCTAAAGTGTGACTTTTAGTTTTTCAATATAAATATATGAATCAAGCTATAGAAATTTTACTAATATTGTAATGCTATCTTTTCCTCCTTGTTTTCTTTGATTTTTATGGTGGTCAAGTCAGTATTTTCTGGTTTATGTAACTGCTCATTCAACACGACCACATGGTTTTACAAATGCAAATCTCTTTGAATGGATAAAAACTAAGATCAGTTAGTTATATTAATACATGCAAAATAGAATTAAAAAAAAACAAATAAATGTTAAAAGAAAAGATTAAAGATTAATGGGTGAGCAAAAAGTCATAACTAACCTCCAAATATTTCTCAGCCATTGGCCTTGAACAACCTGATTTCAGCGAATGGTGCAGGGGTTGACGTTGAACCCAGAACCCAGAGTATAAACAACATGTGTAAGCTATAAAAAAATAAATTGATTATTGAACGATATAACAATTTTACTAATGTATGGCTGTTACTTCAAAGTTGTTCAGTTGTAAGAAATCATCATTAACCTCACCGGATACTGCCACTACTACCTCCATCAGCCACCCCCTGCGGTTAAAATAATTAAATGAAAGTATGATGTTGTAATACAGATACACAATGTAGCAGTTGGATGCATCCAATGAAGTACCCGGGTTGTTGATTTAACAAATGGGAACGTAAACCATGACATAATCATCACCAAAATTTTGATTACAATAATTAAACTATGTATGTCTTCTGCTTAATCATTAAAATTTAAAAGGTTAATTCAATTTACAAAAGTTTTCCTTTTATAATTACCCGTCATGTAGAAGAAGACCTCTTGTATAAATTATAATCGGTTCTACTGAGGCGGCAGCTGCATTTTTATACCATTTTCGTCAGAAGAAATAAGTCAATTACTTACTTAACTTCCAAAACCAAGGGCATCCAAATCACTCAACCTGAAAAAGGTCAAAAGATTATCCAAAACAAAATGAGTATACAAATATAATGATCTAACAGAAAAACGAAAGAAATATATTATATCAAACAAAGGAAATTATTATTACTTACTTTTTTTAGCACTAATAAAAACTTCAACACCAGCATCAGACTGAGTAAAAACAATAATAAAATCCTTAAACACCATCATCATGTGTTTAGAGAAGAACAAAACGCATCCATGCTACATGTGCTGCAGCCATATCAATTGGATGGGTTCATAAAAAATGTTGATGTAAAAAGAAGAATCGGCAAGAAAAAACGGGATATTAGAAAATTATGCATGATGATAAAAAAAATTAATGTATGAAATTTTAAATTATAAAATAAATAATATATGAATAACTATTAAAATTGTTAAAGTGAATATTGAACTTTAAAATGTAAATAAACAAAAGCCGACAAAACTCAAAGTTTTGGTCATTTTTTGTAATTTTGTTTTTCTAGTGACAGGGCATTCCAGTCATTTACAAGAAACTTTTACCTTTTTAATGCATTCCATTCCCATTTTGAGGGAAATGTTATATATAATGATGAAACTTGAAACCTCCATCGTGAAAATCCCGACCTGAAAGTTGACATATATCCATGCCAAAATGGAACTCGATTGATTCATCTTCTTCTTGGAACCATGAATTTTGGAACAAAAATTCTGCAAACAAACCAAAACTGATGATAAATTTCTTGGTAAATAAACTTGCAATAGATGTTGATCAAGAGGCTTTTTGAATCTGCTACTCGGAAAAAAAAAATCAAAAGTGAGAAATTTTACCAATAATATATAAATAAATAAAAATAGATATTTTAACCAATCAAATAAATAAAGTGACTAACCTGATATAAGTTTTTAATTGGCAGCTTTTACCATTTCATACCAAAATGTCGAAAACAAATGAAATCAATTAGCCAAAATTTATTTGGAATCATAATAAACAGGTCAACTGAAAACACATACAAATAAAAACTAAATGACTGCAAAATATATAAAACACATACAAATAAAAATAAAAAGGGCCCATTCCATGAACATGCTAAAAACTAAAGCTGCATTCAATGCATACAAAAAGGTAATAAATAAATATTTATGAGTAAAAGTTGCATCAGCAAACAGTAAAAATCTAAACCTGACAATAGAGGGCGAACACCTTGAAATCATTATCGAACCAAACAATTAGCCTGAACAAAGGCACAACATTCATGTAAGTACCTGAGGCTAAGTTCTTATTTCAACAGTAAATTTAATAATGATACAAAAATTTAAAGGCACCTGATCATGAACACGGAATTGAAAATTGCAAAGCTATTGAATATGTTGTTCATAAAATACTTTTCGCTTTAAACACTCTGTATTGCAGCTGAATAATTCCATAATGAGAAACAACATATTTAGAATAAATTGACTTTGCAAACAATAAGAGATTAAGAGTGCACAGAATAATAAGGTTAAATATTAATACCCATTTTGTTTTTCGCTCTAGTGAACTCCTTTCTCTGTTCAACCTTTACACCAACTTTCTTCAGAAGCACTTTTTCTTTCTTCTCTAGCATTTCAAGTGTCTGCAGAAATATTCAATAATTCAATATAAAAGAAAAAAGGGGAAAAAACATTAGGATCAATCCATGATTTAACACAACAATCATTTGAATCAAGAAAAGCATTTGTCCTCAATCACAAGTTACAGAGATCTGGTGAAGTTACATTGACCATATGTGCAAGCAATGATGTAACAGACCAAAAATCTCTGTTTGGCATTTTGACAAACAGTTGGTGGGCATAATTCAGTTGAGGCTTTACTGAGCTTTAGAATGGAGAATCAAAAAACCAACGAAATCAAATATGAAAAAAATAGGTCTGATGCTTCTTTAGCAGTTGAAGAACAATTTTTTTAGGTAGTTATTGCTCCCTCCTATCATCGTTTTAACAATCATACAAAAACTTTACCCTAAATAACAAAATAAACTGATTTCTGGGTTGTAGTCATCAACGAAGCAATCAAGGCTCGATCAGTGAAGGAATGGAATAAGGAAATCAGGAGATGAAGCTATATTCGCACACCATGAGTTCCTGGGAGAATCACCTAGTTACCCAATTTTACTGAATTAGAGCAGAGAGGGAGAAAGAAAGAAGAATAAGAGGAAAATCAGAGACGTCAACTGACCTGTAGGGACAATCGGTGGTGGAGAGCGACGGTGGGTTGGACCATGGTGGTGAGCGACGTTACCTGGACTAAATTGATCGGAACTCGTAGCGATGGAATAGAACTGCCACGAAGCAATCGATTTGCGACACCTGAAGACCACAACGCCTCCAGTCACCGCCACCAGCAACCCACGTCGCCGCACCACCAACACCAGCAGCGTCGTAATGCGTTCTTGGTTCTTGCTGCTTCGCTGTCGAAATAAAGTGGATAAATCGATGGTGGTTTGGAGTAGCAGGGGTGAGACGTTAGAGGGGACACGAATGAGTAAGCCGGACACCCTATGTAGTCGACACCGATGAGTAAGCGGACACCCTATGTAGTCGACCATGTAGTCCGCTGGGACCGACTAACCATGGAGAAGTCGAAGAAGCGGCGAATATGGATTGGGAACTGAAGTGGGTGAAGTAAAGTGGGTGTGCGGACAGAGAATAGAAAGGGCATTTGATCGGAGAGGCGGTGGAAAATTCCAGAATGTCCCTGAGATAAACATCAACAAATCCGATGAACGATGAACGACACGTGTCCACAAAGAATACGGATATTGACATAAAATGACCCTAAAGAATATACATAATAGCAAAAAATACCCCGCACAATAGAGGGAACATCCACAAACATAATAGAGGGACCATTTCTGCCAAAAACTCGGAAGTTCACTATTCATGTTGGAAGACAAGTTTAATATATATAATAATGTCACCGATATAATGTCACCGGAAAATGTCAACGCATTATTTTGTGTTCCAGATTTATTGTTTAGATGTTCTTGTTATTTCACGCTTCTAAATTTCTAAACTATCTTAAAAAAAATCCAAAATGTACTACGAAGCAATGTATGAAAAGTCAGATTTTTCAAATTTTTCGTATTAGTCTCAATGGTTTTACTGCATTCTGAAACAAAATAAATTCTAGTCCAATAATATAATTTTTCGAATATTATAAATAAATTTAAAAAAATGTCATTTATTTTAATTCACAATAATAGTGTTTTTGTAAATTACCCGGCCCAAAATGCAGGCCCGGACTCGGGATCTTGGAGACTTGGACTCCAACTTGATCCGATGATCGTACGGATGTAAATCAAGACAAAGGGGGATTTTAAAAGAAAAAACGGAGGTGAAAATCGAAAGAGAGGTTCACAGGTTCAGTTCCTCATTGAGGTTTTGAGGTAGAAGACGCAACGAACAATCGTAGCTCACCACACCACCTTCTTCTTCTTATCATACATCCTCTTTGATTGCATTTCGATCCAAGATATAATTCGATACACAAAGTATACAGAGATTATCAAGATGAAGACGACAAAGGGGGGTAAAGTCATGAACCCTACCGACGCTTATAGGAAGGAGCTTCGCAAGAAAGAATTGAAGAGGGTAAGTTTTTCCCTTTCAATTGATTATGTTATTCTTCAACGATTCTTAAATTCGTTGTTGTTTGTCATTGTTATGATCATGTTAATTCTAATCGAACCGTGCTGGCCTGTCATTTCTCTAATTTCAGTTCTTGCTCTTGAAAGTTTCGGCTTTATGTTAATGAATGGAAATTGTAAAATTTGATTTAATAATTCTTCGGAGGAATCATCCAAGTTTTGACTTTAGGAATTACTGAACTTCATATGCCTTCACTATTTGAACTTCTTGAAACGTAGGTAATATATACTCTGGTGCAGTAAAAATGGCCGATTGTATACCATTACTGGTACACATAGAATACTGATATCCATTGGGCAAAGAGCAACCACTTTTACATTCATTGACAATATGCATGCTTATTTGTTGCTTCAGCTATATAAGTGATTCAGATGTTTAGGGTTTATCAATCAACTAGCTTTGAATTTCAAACATAGAAATGCTAGACATAAATCTAATGTTTGCATCTCTTTTGGTGTCTTATCAATGCACACAGATCATTTATCTCTGCAAATCCCTTGTATGTCAAGCTATCTTCCATCAAATTTCCCTTATTTTATTTTATTTTCAATACCATGTGAGCTTATAATGATGTGATTAGTTGGCATTATGATGACTATTCGTCAACCATTTGGTCTTTGTGTTATAGATAGAAATTTCTTAATATTGTTTCTTTTGTTATTGCCTTATTGGTGTGATGAACCTGATATATTTGCATTACCCCCCCTGTTAACACGGCTTATGGCGTATGCTTATCTATGACAGAACAAGAAAGAAAGAAAGAAAGTAAGAGAGGTAGGGATACTGAAGAAGGATCCTGAAACCCTCAAGGAGCAAATTGACAAGCTGGAAGCAATGAGTAAGCTCTAAATGATCCAAAATTTGTAGTCTTTATGTATGCATGTGTGTGTGTATCAATTGATGAGTTGATTCTTCTTAACAAAATCTAAGAAACTGATCTAAACCTCCTCCTTCCTTCAACAACAAATTTGAATTTATAGCTTTTAACAACTCATTACATTCTTAATTAAAGTTTGTCTCAGAAATAACCAGAAATTGCAATGTCCATACAAGTTCAAGCATTTCCACTCATGTTCTATTCTCTTAAATGATTTATTTAGCCATGAAGTCTATCTATTTAAAGGTTCTCCACTTTTTTCTTGTAATTGTTGGGGGCTTAGTGTTTTTATGATTAGTTGATTAGTTTCCTTTTAGTATTTTTTTAGTCTTTTGTTATCATTAAGTAGTTTATTGCTCAGGATTAAGGATTAGGGTTAGTTTAGTACACCTTGAGTATAAATTGGTCATTAGGTTAAGGATTCAGGTGGCAAAATCATTTTGATCAGGATCTTGACGTGTCACTGATTATGTTTCTTTCATTTGATAAAAGAAACAAAATTGGAAAATGAAAAGCTATGATGGATACTAACAAGAATTAGTTATGGCTTCTAATGCTTATATTTTAAGCGCCAAAATTCTTTGATGATCAAACTTTTATATCATTTTTTACCATATCTCTTTGTTGACTATTTCAAGATTCTTATTTTCTTGCTACTAATTGTTACAGAAGCAGATGGTGCTTTGGATAAAGCCAGAAAACACAAAAAAAGACAACTTGAGGACACATTGAATCTTGTTATCAAGAAAAGAAAGGTAACATATTTTAGGTGATTATCATATGAAAATATAATAATATATCAACAAATGTGTGTAATCATGGATTCATGGTCTACTTTACATTTCTTGATAGGAATATGAAGAAAAAATGAAGGAAAAGGGTGAAGCTCCAGTTATGTTCAGGTTAAGTTTATACGAATTTGGAAATGAAATATAAAATTTACTAAAAAAAATAAGATCTCATTTTTATAAATTTAATCGTATAATTTTTCTTTAATCTCCTGCAGTCATCTGGGACTACCAAGAAGACGGACTGCTGAGGAAGAAGAAAGAGCTAAGAACCTAAAACCTGAGGTAAGTTTTTGACTTCGTAATTCATACATACACAAGGGCAAAATGGTCATTTACTCAAAGAGTTGTAAACTTGTAATTGCAGGATTCTGTTTATTATCATCCTCAATGGAATCCAACTGGTGCACCTCCACCTGGAAAGCCTCCAATGTACAAGTCATCAATAGGTTAGGTTTGGTTTTAACTTTTGACCATTTTACCCCTCCATTCTTCTGATCTGAAATAGCTTTTTTGCTTTGATTTCAGGACCAATTATACCCTTAGTGGAAGGTTCAACAAGTGATGCTGCAGGATTAGAATCAGATGATGTTGACTCGTCGATTCCTCCACCACCACCGCCACCTCCTCTGCCACAAAGTGGCGGCGATACAGAGGCCGGAGATGACGCTCCACCTCCGTCTTTACCTTTACCACCTCCACCACCAATGCCGCCAAAGCCCGCCACAACAGAGGTAGGCGGCACCATCTTGCCGCCACCGCCTGGCCCTCTTCCTCCCCCTCCTCCACTGCCACAATCCACCCTAGCACCACCGCCTCCGGGGACTGCCGGAACTGGGGAGAAATCTCAGTCTTTAAAATCAGATTCCAACATTTCTCAGCTTCCTCCACCACCACCAAAGCCCACCGGAAACCAATCCGAAGGTGGTTCAGAAGCCAAGGACTTCTCAAAAATGGTTCCACCACCACCACCTCCTCCACGGCAACCACCACCCGGGATGATCCCGGTTTTACCAACAGACATGCTACCGCCAGGGATGTCTCGCTTTCCACTACCACCACCACCACCTCCAGACATGCGACCACCATCATTACCCCCCCTAGGAATTCCCGGCCCACCACCACCTCATCCGGGAATGATGATGCCAAGGCCACCATTCGGGCCACCACCAATGATGAGACCGCCACTTCCGCCCGGGCCACCACCAATTCAAATGGACGATCAGTTTTCAAGGCCGCCAACTGTATCTCAAAAACCATCATATGTGAAATCAGCTGCTTCCACTGTTGTTAAAAGGCCTTTAGCTCAACATACCCCACAACTAACTGCCATGGTAAGTCCCTAGCTGAAAATCTAACTGATAGCTGAAAAGCTAGCTGCTGGCTGCAAAACTGATAACTGAAAAATCAGCTGCTGGCAGATAAAAAATGACGGATGGTAAAACTAGTTGATAAGCTAGCTGAAATATATAAAATGACGTAAAAGGGCATGTAGAAGATTGAGTATGTTATAACTAATAAAGGATATATTTGGAAGAATTAAAAAAAAAAGATTGTTTATAAACTACTTTTTGGTTTGACAAATATTACACTATCTTTTAAAATTTTTTTTAGTATGTAATGAATTTTTAATATTTTTTAATAGGTGCCAGCATCTGTACGGGTGAGGAGAGAGACAGCTGGACCGAAGGTGAAACCGAAGCCATCAGTTTCATCAGTGTCAGTTGGTTCTGTCCAGCCTGGCATTGTAACGCCAGCTGTCATGAAACAGTCAACAGTGAAAGTGTTGGCATCATCTTCTTCTTCATCAGTGAAACCTGCAAGTGTGGATGATTCTTACATGGCTTTCTTGGAGGATATGAAAGCTCTTGGTGCTCTTGACAACTGAGAGTGAGAGCAAATGGATATATATATATTTGTTGTCATCCATTTTAATTCTTCTCTTTATTTTGATGTAATGGAACCTAAAAAAAAAAAAAATCTATGGCTTTTAGTTTTAAGTGGTCCTTTGATTTTAAATTGTGTTGGATCATGTCAGCTGTTAGACGCCATGGGTTAAGACTTTAACACTAAGGTAGGGAAATGTTCTGTAAAAGGATTTTTAATCAACTTTTGAATTTAGTTTTTTTAATATCGGAGTTGTCCTGTCACCAAATTGACTATTTTTTTTTTTCATTAGTATAAAAAATAACTGTTTATTTGCAAAAATGTCTGCACGATTATATTAATTCACAAAACTATTTTGTTGACACATTTGGGTTGATAAGGACTAAAGAGTTTGCAAAGTACGTTTAATTTTGCTAATAGTTTCAGCGAATCTAGGCTTTGTAACTCATTTTGCAAAATCTCGTTTTTTTTTTTGTTTGCCAAATATAAAAGATTTTGGATATGGAAGTAATTCATTTTGCAAAATTCATATAATTTTTATTTTTTATTTGCCAAATCCACAACATTTTTTTCATACACAACCGATTATAAAATATACAACTCTAAAATATAAACTGTTGTATTGTACAGCTCTGTAAAACATAAATTGTTGTGTATGAAGAAAAATTGTTGTGTACGAATCAGCCTCATTATATATACATATTTTTTTTTAATGAGAAATTATAGACACAGAGAAAGTTAGAATAATTTTTGTATTTGAGGCCTAATGAAGTTGTGGAGTGTATGCAGTATGCTCTATATAGGGTTTTAGAGTGGAGTGGGTGTTTGAGCTTAGTTTGATAGATTCTTTTTATTAATATTTTAAACACTAATTGTGAGATCTTTTCAAACCTATGGTTAACTGCCTTGATAAAAGTTAATATTCTTGTTTGAAGTAGTTTGGCCCCCCATAAAAATTAATTGGGTTTAAGAACTTAATTGGAGAAAAATAAAACTCAAGCGTTAGTAAAAGATTTAACAGAATGAAACAGAAAAATAAACATATAAGAAAAACAATCATTAGTAAAAAATTTAAGAGAATGAAACACAAGCGTTATAAAATACTGAAATAATGTTTTTTTTTAGGGAAAATGACTTAAAAAGATAACGAAGTTTCAAAAATATACAAAAAAGACCATTGTTTTTTTTAGTACACAAAATACAATTTTACTGGCTATTGTAGGTTACCCGGTTTCCAAATGTTCAAAAAATACCATTGTTGTTTTTTTAGTATAAAAAATACCATTAATGTTACTATTTGTACACAGAATATCAAAAAAGTACACAATGTTCAACTAAAACATTGTGGTAACCAGGTACTTCAGGTAAATGGGAACATGACTTAAAAGTGTAATGCCGTTTCCAAAATGTTTAAAAAATATCACACTTTTTGTTAACTGTGTTGTTGTCGGATTATGTAGAACACAATTACCGGAGATCATGAACCGTCATATCAGTTCACAACAATTGTGCAAACCTAAAACATATATACGTTATACAGATGCACATATTATACATCAAGGTTAGCCGTTCATTAGTGTTGCGACACAAGAGAGACACAAAGGAGAAACGAGTGTGACGTTATCTAATGAGAATTCATAAATATGGATTTAGATACAAACTGATCGAATGATAGGATGAAAGATAGTACACAACTAGTGTGAACTGGTACGATGATGACTAATCTCCGATGACCGTGTTCTATATAATTCGGAAACAACGAAGTTAACAAAAGGTGCTATGAAAAAACAACAATGGTTTTTTTTGAACATTTTGGAAATATCAATGGTATTTTTTATACTAAAAAAATAATGGTATTTTTTGAACAAATTTGAAACTTTGTTACCTTTTTAAGACATTTTTCCGTTACCTGCAGTAACAGGTTACCCACAAGACTTTATTTGAACACATGTGTACTTCATTGGTATTTTGTGCATAAAAAATATACTTTAATGGTATTTTGTTTACTAAAAAAAACAATGGTATTTTTTGTACATTTTTGAAACTTCATTACCTTTTTAAGTTTTTTTTTTTTTTTCTAAATAAAAAAGATTTAGATTTTAGACCTAAACAAAAAAAGTTATTAGATCCAATGATCTAATCTTTACCATATCTTTGAAAAATAATTAATTTTATCCTTTTAAAGAATTATAAACTTGAGCCCGATAGAAAACTGGGCCGTAGATTCAGCCCAATGTACAACCCTAGAAACTGGAAAGTATGTAGGGCATTACAAAACCCTTCTGATTAATACGTTTTGAGTCCCCAACATCCATAGCAGCAGCCTTCTTCTCCCGAGCTGAAACTCCAAGCAGGTTAGGGTTTTCCTCCAAGAGGATCCACCCTTCGATTCAACGTAAGTATTCTTTCTTCATCTTCATCTCAATGAATATCCGTTTGATTTCAAACCTTTTGACAAATCGTTTCATAGTCGCATTACTTTCTTGTACCATCCACGTTATTAATATCCGATGTGTAGAAATAGTTTCTCTGAATGCATTTTGGTTTTAGTCTTCTTGTATGCTTACACGATACAACATTAGGTAATTACTTTTCAATCGAGTGTTTTTGAGTTGTTTGATGTTTGTAGCGTTGTACATGTGTTTGTGATCGAGTATTGTACGGCGATTATTACGGATTCCTAGTGTAGTTTCCATTTACTTGCTAATAGTAGCAGTATAGAGTTGTGGAGCCTCGAGTGAAGAACGGGTGAGCCTGAAGCTTTGTTCTTCTCATAGCGCTCCGGACATGCATTGCCTTGGTGTTATGAAAATGGAGTCTTTAATTCTGTTTTCATTGAACTGTTTTTTTGGCATATATCTTATTGTTCCATACAATACTCAATTTACAATGATCATTAAATTTTCTAAGCTGTATGAGCTATTGTTACCTCATTTTCCAATTGGTTGATCTGTAAATACATACAGATAATGTTACTAATCTATCATTGCTGTTAATCCAGATCTTCAAGATGTATACCTCAATGAAGAAGATCCAAAAGGACAACAAGGATGCAGAACCCACTGAGTTCGAGCAGAGTGTTGCTCAGGTAATGTCCCATTAATGTCATTCTTCCACAAACTTTCTTTTTTTAATAACAATCTTTTCATTGATTTCCATCTTTCATCTCAACCCAGGCATTGTTTGACTTGGAAAACACTCACCAAGAGCTCAAGAGTGACTTGAAGGACTTGTACATCAACTCTGCAAAGTATGAATCAAATCCAATAATCCCAAATAAATTCTATCCTTTTTCTCCATCATATCACATATTAATCTCTTTTTGATGCTTCTTTTCCAGTCAAATTGATGTTGGAAACAAAAAGGCTGTTGTGATCCATGTCCCATACAGATTAAGGAAACCATTCCGCAAGATCCACACTAAGCTTGTTAGAGAACTTGAAAAGAAGTTCAGTGGAAAGGTACTTATTTAGTATTTACACAACACCCCATTTGTATTTCTTTAAAATAAAACGTATTTAATTATTTAAAAATTTTAAATTTGGTTACAGGATGTTGTTGTGATTGCAACCAGAAGGATTGTTAGGCCACCAAAGAAAGGCTCAGCAGCCACCAGACCTCGTTCACGCACCCTGACAGCTGTCCATGATGCCATGCTGGAAGATGTGGTGCACCCTGCTGAGATTGTTGGGAAACGTGTTAGATATAGGCTCGATGGATCCAAAATCATCAAGGTAATTGAAGTTATTTTTATGAAGTTTTAATGATTTTTGGATTTTGGATTTGTGTTAATGGTTTGTGTTTGTGTTAGATTTATTTGGATCCAAAAGCTCGTAATGACACTGAGTACAAGTTGGAGACGTTCAGTGGAGTTTACAGGAAGCTTTCTGGGAAAGATGTTGTGTTTGAGTACCCAATTACAGAAGCTTGAAATGTGTTTGGAGGGTTTTGAGTTGGTTGAATTATATTTTATGCTGAAAATTTTGACTTGAAAAGTATATCATCAGTCGTTCTTTGATGTTAGTTAAATTGACGTTTGCTTCTTTTATGGGGGCATGATTGTAGTTGAATTAGGAATATGGGTATTTAAAGCGTTTGCTTCCAAAAATTATCTTGATTTTGCCCGGTGGATTTTTAAGACAATTTTTGCTAAAATGACCATAAAAGTAGGAACGATTTTCTGTTAAAGAGACCTTGCCAGATCATTTGCTGATTTTGTAAATTTTTTTTTGACCATAAAAGTAGCACCGAGTGACTCAAAAGATTTAGGCTCTTGATTAATAATTTAATATGGTCCCCAATGATTTAAAGACATTAATCACTTAGAAGCTCAATATTAAGGCTAAAGGGAGTGGTCGTGTGTGTATATTAAAGCTAGAAGGAGTAGGCGAGTGTAGGGATGAGATTTAGAACTGGAATCGGACCGAAAGAGAAACCGTTAGAACCGGAACATGTAAAACCGGTGTGGGTCCTGGGTTTAAAAATGGCTCTATCTGGGTTGCGGGTTCTTCGGGTCCGGGCAACGTTTTAAAAACCGGTTTGAACCGGCCAGTCGAACCGGTTGAATCGGGAACAGGAGAAGGGAGCGGTTCAACTATCACTGGTTTTACGTCTATTTCTGAACTGCCGGTTTTACAAAAATCCGGTTAAACCTGTTAAATTAAACTGGTTAAATTGAATAAAACACATGGAATCAAATTATTTTGCATAATAAAGTTTGGAGGTTTTTTCACATCTATTAAGATTTTTATGAATAAAAACACATGATAAATGTTATTAAGTTTTTTGATGTGTTTGTATTCATCTAAGATTTTATTTTCTTTTTAATGCATGTGGGTTAATGTAAAACTTATGTTTATGTGTTATTTTAATTTATTTAGATTGATCTACAACTTGTTTTCATGTGTAGTGTATTTTTATATATTTAAACTTGTGGACATCAAATTCTTGATTTATGTATGTGTGTATGTGTAGGAAAATACAAAAAGATGAAAATTATAGAAACCAGTTTACTCGATCGGTCGAACCGGTTAAACCGGAAACCGGTAACCAAACTGGTTTCACTAAAAAACCGGTTTTTAAAACATTGGGTCTGGGTAAACCGGGTTTAACAACCGGAACCATGTTAGGAACCAGAACCGGTCTCTGTAAAAAGTTTAAAACATGCATATTTCATTCGTTTGAAGTCAAATTGACACGAGGTTTGTTCTAGAGTGTAGTTTATAGTTTTGTACATGATTTTAGACTATGATTTTGTCATTTTTGGGTTTATATTCGACTATTCGTTGACTTACAGTCTCTCAAAGTCAGGATATTAAAGCTGAAAATTTTATGTTTTTCAGTTTGTTTGTTTGTTGTTGTTGTTTTTTTTTTTTTTTTTTTTTTTTTTTTTTTTTTTTTTTTTTTTTTTTTAAATTCTGTGATAGTTTAAAAACATACATATCTAATTCCTTTGAAGTCGGAATAGCATGCGGTTTTTTTCGAAAGTGTAGTATAGAGCTTGTACATGATTTTAGACTTTAACTTTGTCATTTTTAGTTTCATATTCATTGATTTATAGTCTTCAAAAGTCGGGATATCAAAGCTACAAAATTTCTGTTTTTCGGCTTTATTTTTGTATTTTGTGAAATTTTAAAACATGCATATCTAATTCGTTTAAACTCGAATTATCATGAGGTTTTTTTGCAACATGTAGTTTAGAGTTTGTACATAATTTTAAACTATAAGTTTGTCATTTTTGGTTTAATATTCAATGACTTACAGTCCCCAAAGTTAGGATATGGAAGTTGAAAATTTTTAAAGTTCAACCACTAAGTAATTACTAAAACATTCCGGTTTTCCGGTTTTAAACCCACTTTATCCGGTTCCATCCGACCCACTTTGATGTTTCTGGGTTTCCGGTTCTAGACTCACTTTACCTGGTACCTTACCCGGAACCGAACCAGAACCAATTCTTATATACCGGTCTGGTTTTCGGTCCTACAAAATCTCGTTAACCAGTTCATGGGTTTTCCGGGTTCGGGTCTACCGGTCCGGGTACCCACTCTCATCCCTAGTCGTGTGCATGCTATGTTATTATATTATGTGTTTGCTTTCCAACTAGACATATCATCATGTTAACGAGGGGTAGTGTGTCTTAGTATTCCACATAATTTTCCTTTTAATTTTGTTTATTTTTTTAACAAGTAATTTTTTTAACAAATATTTAATTTGGTAAGCGAATATTATTTTTTTAAACAAATATTAATTTTTAAAAACACAAACATAATAATATTAAATTTTGACTTACAACATAAAAACGACTTAAAAATTAACTTAAGAGTTAAAACATAAATGATTTAAACATAAACTTAAAACATAACTTAAAATCAGACTTAAAACATAAATGAATTAAACCTAAACTTAATAAACAATTTCAAACATTGTTATCCCAATTAAATTTCTACGTAGGCTCTGTTTTCGCATTTTCCACAATCCGACGAGTCGACTTAGGCAACCTACCATCATCTTGCAGGAAGAGTTTTAGTGCTTCATGAATCTTTGAGAGGAGTCTATTATTGGTGTGCAAACTCAATCTCACATCGGTAAAAAGAGAAACTAGATGCTAGTATATAATACAATGAGTAATCCCTTCTATCACCAATTGGTATTAGAAAATGGAACCTCATTGTTCTTTTGTGTTAGCATGGTTGGACTAGTAGCGTTCCTAACAAATGATATTAGAGCTACAGTCATAACCCAGGTGACGTAGTCGACATAGGTGGCGCAATCCCTAGTAATTCCTGGTCCTACGAAGTTGATCTTGAAGTCTTGTACCAAAAGTCTTCTTGATGGCCCATCTCAGGTGAGCATATCAAGAGAGTATCAGCGGTATGAAAAATGATTGGATCAGATGAGCAATCGTTGAAAGGGAAGCCAAGATCGGAACTTGGGTTTGAGGGGAGGATTGTTGGGGTGCAAACCCAATCTCACATCGGTAAAAAAAGAAACTAGATGCTAACATATAAGGTAATGAATAATCCCTTATATCACTAATTGATTTTAGAAAATCAAACCTCATTTTTCTTCTATGTTGGCATGATTGGTTTTAGAAAATCAAACCTCATTGTAAAAGCCTCTATATAAAGCAGAGACTAAAAGCAATTAAACCATTTTCCATAAATATATGTAACACAACACAATAGTTGAAGGTTTGAGTTAGTTTAAAATATTATTTGTATGGAGCGAAACACATATAACACACTGTTTCTGTCACACCCCCGAACCAGACGGCGGAAACGTTTGGGGGCTTGTGCGTGACTTCATCTTGAAATATCATTACAGTGAATATAAATGAAACATAACGTCATCATTACCATGCATAATATAATACAACTGCCATTGTTTACATCAAGTACAATCTTTTAAATAACATGACCAAAACATTCAATGTATGATGTTTGACAGTACACAAAACAAAATCCCCTATTCTTGTTGATTCTTCTGCTTAACGAGTCCCTGAGAATACAAATTATTTTGAAAACGTCAACATATATAATGTTGGTGAGTTCATAAGTATATTTGAGAAAATGATTTGTATAACTTTGTAATCACAAGAAAATCCTGTATTTTCTTAAAATAGTTTGGTATGTTTATGTCTGATCTTGTATTAATGCATGTGTGTTATTGTTTAATAGAATGTCAAAAGTGATTGAAGAGAATGTATATAGAATGTCCCCGGACAACCCGATGTTGCCCGTAAAAGAAGAATAGTTAATGCTGTCGTACCAACACCGAGGCACGTGATAGTGTGACATCCCGGAACTTTTATCTTGCACACTTAGTCAATTCAATCAAAGTTAAACTTGTGTTGTTGACTTCTTGCACTGTTTGAGGGTTCGTTTAAGTTATTCTAAGTTTGAGCATGACCAAGGTTGAATTTAGGAATGGGTCAGCAAGTCGTATACTGTCGAAACAAGGCCATGCACACCCTTAGAGGGAGTGTACGACCGTACACATGGGTGTGCGGCAGCACACACACCTCCTGGCAGCACACTCCCTTCTAGACAGCACACCCACCCTATATAAAGGGTAGACCCCCTTTCCTTTCATTCCTTTAACACCTTGGCAGCACACAACACCATTTCTCTCAAGCTTCTTCAACCACAAACCTTCCAAGGCTGCAAAAACGTGAGTAAACCATCCTTTTACTTATTTTGTTTGAAGAACCACTTGATCTAAGCCTTTAATCACCAAGTCCTGTCATGTTCTTCATCTACTTGAAGGAGTGCGGCTGCACACCCTCATATGGTGGCCGCACACTCCTAAAAGACCCTCCAAAGTGAGAGTTTGACTTCCATATTCGAGATAGACATGCCCCTAGCCTTGTTGAACCTTGGAAATGGCATTTTTGGACATCTTTGTGTGGGGTGTACGACCGCACACACCTGTGTACGGCCGCACACACACTTGTGCGGCAGCACACTCCAAGTGTGCGGCAGCACACCCAAGTGTGCGACCACACACTCATCTTAGGACCACAAACACACTTCTAGGACCCCTAACTTGCACTACAACGGAGAATAGACCTAGGACACTTCATGGATTGCAAGTATGGACCTTAAAACACCCCAAGAACACCTTCCATCATGAGTGTACGGCCGCACACCCCTTGGGCTGCACACCCATGGCCGCACACACCTTAAAGGTGGCCATACACTCACCTCATGCAATCCTTTAAGGCTCTAACACTTAGTGCAAGTAGCCCCAAGTTCCTAGAGTGGTTCTCCATCACATTTAGTAGCGAAATACCTTCATTTGACTCCTTTATGTATCATTGCATGTTAATTAGGATCAAATCGTGTTCAAGGCTTCACTTGAACATCCCGCATTCCGTATCGATCCTTCATTCAAATCACCCGAGGTGAGTTCATACCCCTACATTTTCCGTGTTTTTAATGTTTTCAGGGGGGGGGGGGAATACAAGCCAAACTCAAAGTATTTTGTTAAGTTTTAAAGTTATTAATACAGTCCAACGATTTCCACGTTTAATAACATATTCGAATATTTTATCTCTTTTTGGAATATGTTGGGCATAAGGGAAACTTCTATTTTGGAAATCCAACTTCATAGCTTTCAGAAAGGTTTTTAC